TGCCAACTCTTCTCTTCTCCCTAGAAACTGCTTGTGAGGGTAATAGACTCTTCAGATTTCCTTGGGTTGTGTCAACAGTCTCAACACTCAATCCACTAATTGAGGGAATCTATAATGCTTTCACAGGGAGACCACAAGTGTCTAGGAGCTAGGGTTAAGCTCAGAGGGGGTGTTTGAGTAGAGATTATGTCTATTTAACTCTGCCTTTGTGTTCTGACATCACTTGCTTTCTCAGCAATTGCTAAGAATAACAAGGAACCATTTCACAAGAAATTTCCCGTGTGAATAAGCCATAATGTATATTCTTCCTCCCACCTCCCCCCTCGTTAAAAGCAGAAGACAAGTTGGGGGATTCTTGCTTCATAATAAATGGCCATAAAAATGAACCAAAAAATCACCTAAGTCTATAAGAACGTCAAGAAAATTAAGATTAAAAGTCATTAAAACAAAGAAAGTTACATAAACCAGGGCAATGTGAAGTGTAGTCTGTGGTGGTCACTTAGGAAGCACATATACCAGTGGTTCTCAACCTGTGGGTCATGACCCCTAAGACCATCAGAAAACACATCCTGCATATCAGATATTTGCATTACAATTCATAACAGTAGCAAAGTTACAGTTATGAAGTAGCAACAGAAATAATTTTATGGTTGGTCATCACAACATGAGGAACTGTACTAAAGGGTCGCAGCACTAGGAAGGTTGAGAACCACTGACATGTACTAAAATTGGAACAATACAGAGAAGTTTAACATGGCTCCTGTGCAAGGAGGACACTTAAATTTGTGAACCATTTAATATTAAAAGAAATAAATATAGTCTGTAGACCACCGTCAATGGTGAGTTCGTTAGTAATGCAAATTGACAGTCAAACTAGCTCTACTGAATCAGAATCTTGGGAATGAGACCCAGCAGTCAAGCTCCCATGGATGATTCCGACACAGGGTAACGATTGAGAACGACTGCCACAGCAACAGAAAAGGCAGCTGATCAACCAAAAATTGCAAGTGATAAAGCCTTTGTAGGCAAATATTACAAATAATCTCCAGAGGCATTCTGTCAAAATTGGAGAGATCTAATAAAAGTTGTCAAAAATGATGTAAATGAGGTATTAAGAAAAAGGATTTTCCTCTGTAAAAGCAATTTAATGCCCGTATATTAAGGTCAGAGGAAGTAAAGAAGAGATATTTATGGGCACAGTTACTCCTGGAATAGAAGTTTCTGAAAGGGAATTTATAAAAGTGAATAAAAATGATTGATAAATGGAGGAAAGCAGTTCAATACACTAATCAGTATGAAAGTACGTTTTAAAAAAATATGTAGTTTAAATATTTTGAAGCAAGTCTATGTATATATTACTTTTTTACTACAAATACTAAATCCTGAATTATGTGTGTGTATATATATATATATATTTTTTTTTTTTTTTTTCCTATGGCCACTGCCACTATCCTGGCCCAACCCACATCTCTTTCACTCAATTCCTGACATAGTTTTCTAACAGGTGTTAGTGATTTAACTTTCACTGTCCTCCAAATCTTTTTCCCATGCTGCAGTCAGTGAGAATTGTATCGTGCTAATTCCTAGCTTACTAATAATCTCAAACGTTGCCATTATATGTTATAGAAAAATCAAAACTTCCCTAAGATCAAATGTCATAGATGATCCAGCCCTTATCTACTTTTCTTATCTCATATGTAACACTCTGACTCATACGTGTGTGTACGTCTGTGTGGATAGACAGATAGAGAGTCTTTGTTTGTTTTATGCCACGACAGTGGTCATCAGTCTGTTTCTCCAACATAGCACACCTGTTCCTGCCTTAGAACCTGGACTCCTGCTGCTCCCTCTGCCTACAATGCTCTTCTCGCATGGCGGCCCTTGTTCATCGTTCATTCCTCAGTTTCAATACTGCATTTGTAAAAAGAGCTTTCCTAACTATGTAAGCCAGTGGAACATCAATCATTCTGAATTATACTCTTATTTTATTTTTTTCAGATACTTAAAAATTGCAGAGATTATTTTTCTTGTGTCTTTGTTTGGTTACTTACTGTGTCTCACAACAGAATATAACATGAACTCTGTGACAGCCGGGACCCTGGGTGTCTGTGGACCTACTTCCTCAGCACGCAACATAAGACCTGACACACAAAAGTTGTTTGATAAAAACTAGTTAAGTTTCAAACTATTTAAAATATTCCCCACTAGACTGATGATAGTTCTTTGAAGATACAGTTTATGATGTGTTTCTTTTGTGTGTCTCAAACCTAGATAAATACTTAGAATAAAGTAATATTATCAATAAGGTGATCATTACAGAGAAATTTTGCATTACCTGATAACTGCATTTACTGATCAATAGAATAATTTCAAAATTCTGTATCAATCACTACTTTTGAGATTTTAGAAAAACCTATCTACTCAACTGTAAAAAGGGTCAAAAAAATTATATTCTTTCCCTTGCAGAATATTTGTATTAACAAATAAACTTCTTTAGACATTCAGGGAATAAATCTCATAATCTACCCACTCTTTCCTGTGTGGCACTCCCGTAAGTTATTATTTTCTTCTGTCACCTTTTCTTTGTGTCAAAGATAGCAAAACACAATCTGTGGGCCGAATCCCAATGGCCACACATTCTTGTACAACCTGCCAGCTAAGAGTGGATCTTACATTTGTAAGTGATTCAAAAGAATCAACATAAAAATAATGATACATGGAAATTATGTGAAATTCAAAGTTGTGCCTATAAAGTTTTATTAGCATACAGCCAAATTAGTTTGTTTATATATAGTTTGTTGTATACTTTTGTGCTAAATATGGGTACTTGAAGAGAGACCATACGGCCTGCAAAGCCTAAATATTTACCATCATGAAACAACTTTCCAGATCCTTGGTTTAAACCACAAATATTTGACATGTCAGTCTTCCCTTTGCATTATGCTGATATTCATTTGCCCGACAGCTGTGGATTTATCTGTATTTGATCTGTTTTTTCCTAATCCAATCTACACTGTGCTTTATTAAAGACCGTATTTCATCTCATTTTCTGTCTTCTCTTTTAGACTACACGCTCCACAAAATAGATGAGTAGTGAAAATCCCATCATCTTATTGTTGCTAATTAATTAATGTTTGTGTAAAGACTGAATAAAGAATGAACATATGAACCTGTACTTCTGATATGCAAATATAAACAATTGTTTCATTATTATTTTATCCAGGACCCAGTTTAACATGGTTTTATATTCTTTGCAAGAAGGAAAAACATCTCGTAATGTAAGTTAAACATTTTCCTTCCATTATTGGCGTGGCTACTTCATTATAGAAAAGAATTCTCACTTGCCTTTCATCAATACAACAATTGCACATAAAACAGGGTTAAGTACCATAAATTTTCAGCTTAATTTCTCCATTATGAATCCCATTTATATAGGTGGATCATTTGTTATCTCCCTGTATTGAGCTACTTCTAATTGTAGGACACTTGAATACAAGACTCTGGAAGGGGCTGATGATTGAGTCATTGATTATTCTGAAATATGGTCAGAGGTTGAAAGTTAAATCTCTGCGATAGAAAAATAATTCTGTGAGGCCTGCATTTTGCTATTTTTTTTACCATGGTTATTATTCCTCATTGTTAGAGCTAGAAATAGAATTATTATGTGAGCTGAGGACAGAATTGAAGCTTAGCTTTTCTTTCCCAACCCAGAATGGTAATGACCAGTGAGGTGCCTTTCAGAAAATGCTACAGTTCATTTATAAAGGAAGAAATGAAAAAAATAAGAGTATTAAATGATTTAAGAAAAATTCAAGGTTGAGATAAATTTACTAAAGAAAATGGAGGCATGATGGGTTTGTGTGTGTGTGTGTGAAAGGCCTTGGGATTTTCAGGAAATAGTGAAAGTGTTAATTTTTCTAGATAAGATGGATGCAATCTCTATGGTGCATTCTATGAATTGCTAGACGATATAATGTAAGAACTTTTTTCTGCTCATGTTTTGTTTAGCATGAAAATATTCACATTCTTTTCTATTCCCCCCAAAATCGTATCTCTTATTGCTTATAGAAATTCTGTATTATTTTATACATATATATAAAAGGATAAATTAAAGTTATCACAATAACTATTACTTTAATAGAATATTAAAAGTATTTCTTATTTTTCCTAGTGAGAAGAGGAGACTTTAGCTGCATGTCCTACTTTTCTGAACAGACAGGCTGAGCACCATTGCTATGACTTCAAACATCACACTGCTTTAAGTAAAAGCAAACATTCATATAATATCATACAAGAAACAAGTCCTGGAATGCAAAAAAATTGAATAACTCTCCTCTCCCCAGAGGTGGAAACTAGCATGTGAGAAACTTCATCTCTCAACCTGGAGATTAGCCCAGGCATACAGATTTGGTCAGAGATCTGTAGAGTGGGAAGGATGCAGTTTATGAAAACTTCAGGAGATGTGGACAGGCCTTATATGAGAGAGGTCGCGTAATTTCTGAAGGCACAGTATGAACCCCCAAACTCATAGGGAATTGCTGCTTCAGATGAACTTCAGATCACAGAAATGTGAAACTAAAGTGAAAAAGGATTTATCGATCTGCTTGATATCATACATCTAGTAATTAACATCTCTCTGAAGTAGGCCTCTGACATAGGGGACCAAATAATAAATCTAGCATTTTTCCTTTTAGCATCTATGTTTTTTGAAATCATGGAGACAAAGGGACTATCCACTTCACCATGAGGTGAGGAATGATGAAGCTGAAGGACCAGGAAGATTCTCAAAATTCCCCACTCTACCTCCACACTAACTTACAAACATATCTTTAAGTCTATTACCCAACTTTATTTTTCTAGAACCCAAGGATATTTACAAGAGGCTTAAGGATATTAATATGGACACAAACATAGAAAAAAAATCAGATATAATAGCAGATATAATATAATATAGTTTTTCCCTTAATTCATTGGGAAAAACTTATTTAATTCAGATAAAGCATCAGTCTACAAATTTAGTATTATGATGATAGGTACTAAATCAATATGTAGAAAAGCAAAAAGAAACTCTGGCAAGATACATTTCTTCTGTATCTTCACTATTTTTAAAGAATCCACTTGCCTCATAAGTGTTTTTTTTTTTTTTCTTTTTTGAGACAGTCTCACTCAGTCACCCTGGGTAGAGTGCTATGGTATCATAGCTCACAGCAACCTTAAACTCTTAGGCTCAAGCAATCCTCTTGCCTCACCCTCCTAAGTAGCTGAGACTAAGACCCAGAAAAGTAGAGAGCTCCCAAACAGGGGCCTGAATCCTGGACCCTCATACTAAAAGTCTGATGCTCTACCAATAGAGCTATCTGGGCTCATAAGCGTTTAAACTGTGGCTAGTACAACCGAGGAACTACTTTCTAACTTGTTTGATTTAAATCTAGACAGACACGTAGCTAGTGGCTACAGTTTTGAACAGCACAGCTTTAACACTGCCATGTCACTAGGTTTGTCCATGAGACCTTCACCTTGGCACTTTCACTTCCCTTGGTCTTAATGATCATGGATCTCATGAGGTTTTTTTCCTGTTTTCTCCTCCTTTTGAGGGTTCTTATCTTCTTCCAGTTACATGCTAGCCATTCTCAAGTTCTTGTAGACAGTGTTAGATTGAGAAATGTAAAGGCCAGAAGAAAAGTCGACATCAAGGCAATTGTGGGTTTAGGATTAGATCCTCCACTTACTATCAGTGTCTTGCCACAAATTATTTAATCTCTTAAAACCCTGTTTCTAGTACTTACCTCCTGGAGTTGTTTTTTA